TTGGAGCTACGACCATGACATGACCTCTTAACATTCTCTATGCAGACAAAGCGAGAAAGTGACTTCAGTGTCGGTGTTCGGTTGTGCATCCACAGTCAGCTTTAAATATCAAACTTGGAGACACATTATATTATTCTTATTATTATTGATAATCCTATTCGTATTTTTATATTTTACTATTATGCAGGAACTTTGAAAACCATGCCCCGGCTGCACATCATGAGCCTTGCTGGCGACGACCCATCCTCTACCAGCAGAGCACCTTGCACGGGGAGCGTACAATTCATGGAGGGCCGTAAGGCGGCAGGGTCCAGGAGACCCCAAGGTCAACACTACATCGTCGCCTCTTAACCTTTCGAAATGTAGACGGAATTGAGGGGCTGGACACTAAGTCGGAATGGAGATTCGTCCGGGTTTGTTGGGGGAGTGTGACTGATCACGAACAGGCACTTGCGATTGCAACTCGAACTGTGACAGAGTTGGGGCGGCTTCTCGCAAGGGGCCTGGCTGGACAGGGGGGACGCCGCTCATCTGAAGCGAACACTGCCTGTGTCAGGGTCCAGCCCTCTTAAACCCGCCTTAAACGGCTGTATCTGAACCTTAACCGGCCCTAACCGGTAATCCCGAGCTGCCAGCAACTCCGCAGGCGCACATGAACTACATATTTTAGCGTGTCTTTTGGACGATTGAGCGAATGAACAAGGTGAACACTAGTAATCGCAGACCCATTAAGGAGAAGGCATAGAGTGAACATTTGACCGAGAAAATGCCCAAGAATTGCATGAGTTTCACGCGTTCTAGTTGTCTGTGATTCTCTTTTGCCAGACGAAAAAGCCCGTAGACAAGTTAGTCTTCTTGATTGGGCTTCTTCATTCACCCAGTTCTTCGATCCGAAAATGAGATCACAATATAAGAGATATAGCACTAGAATGACGGGTGAATGAAATGAACGTCAAAGATTGATCCACAAATTGAATCTACCATTCTTAGGGGGTATTTTGCCTAGCCCTTTGCCGGATTTCCGCAGCTCCATGTCAACAAGGATGCACGATATGGAGCTTCACACGGCGTCGGTTCGGGAGGCAATTGCAGCTGAGCATCGTGTACCGGCCCACACCCAAGCGAGCGCGCCAGCCGACTCCGTCCTCGCGCTCGAAGACAGTCCTCACATGCAGCACGGTCGGTCCTGAACATCCCTAAGCCCAGGCTACAACCAAAACTCGACGACCAAGAAGCTGCCACGGACACTCCGCTGCATCGGGCCTTTTAATCGGATGTGTCTTAGCCCACTCCACACAACCCCTTCAGGCCCTACAGCACCCTAAACCCTGCACCCTAAACCCTTGGATCGTAGCCGTAGTGGAAGGCCCAGGTCAAGGGATCCCCGGAGCGATAAGACTGAGATGCTTATGGCGACCACGGGGACGTTCGAGATTAGGGCTCGGGATTTGAGGGCACCCTTTGCAGCGTGGACTTCGACGCGCAAGGGCCCTGGGGAAGGCATCTCAAATGCCGAGCCTGGGCTTCAGGAATTTCGTGGAAATTGCGACGAGCATCAAGAAGCAGCTGCCGACGCTGCCGACGACCTGTGCGCAGCGGGAACATGACTCTGCAAGCCCGGCTTGCACGGTGCGGTTCCGTGTGGATAGCGTGGTGAGCCTTCGGAGTGTCTGCGAACCTCTACAAGCAACACAGAGGAAGCGAATGCTGAGCCACAGAATCGACCCCCAAGCTCAGACGCTAGCCGGGGGTCCTCTCCCGGCTTTTTTCAATAAGTGAAACATAGTAAAACATAGTGCAACTGAGTGGATCGGAGTCTTGGGATCCCGCCCAGCAGTGCACCCCAAAGCCCCTGAACCCTAGACCCAAGCCCGGAATGCAACAGCGAAGTCCACTCCCATCCCCCCAACTCCTGCACTTAGTAGGCTTACCAACTTCCCCTCTAACCCACACCCCAAAGCTTCTCTCGCGCGACCTCAGCAGAGCGCGGCTCTCCAGCCACGACACCGTGAAAGCCTGCAGGACTGTATTACTATCATTATTCTTTTTTATTACTAATGATAACATCATTTTTCTTCTTCTCGTTTAAGTATGTATGCCAACAATGTCTGGGTTTCGTGGCTTGAAGCTGGGGAAGGCTTCAGGTCCACAGCAGAAGAGTTCTTCTGAGCAAACAAAATCTCAGAGAAACTGAAGAAACCGTTTCCACCGGCTTCGCCAGACATCTCTCCAAGCAAGGAACGCACGAGGGATCAAACTTGATCTCAAAACCCAAGCCAGGGGAAGAACCAAACCCAAGGTTGCCTTAGTTCTCGGGTTTAGTGCTCTTCTTGGTTTGAGGGTCTCTGTTTCGGAGTATCTTGTCTCACTGTTGGGCCCCTAGACCTCCTTGCAAAGCAGAGGGCCTGACTGCCACAGAGGGTGCGACCGCAGCAGATCGCGGAAGCGGTGGAAGCCCGCCCCCACTTGCATCGGAAGCGACCTGGGAACCGGTCAAGTGAGTGGTTGTTCAGAAAGACTCCGCGTGAACATCAAAACCAAACCTGAGAAAGCGCTGAAACTGAAACCCGTGTCCTTGAACGATGTAGCCTATGCCCACCACTCCCGTCACGAGTCAGAATGAGAGAAGAGCCCCAAAGCCGCTAACTCGCCAAAACACACCTCTTTGAAAGCCTTATCTTGAAGCTCAAGGCACACACTGTTTCCCAGATCCTTATCCATATACCTCAGTGCCGTGGTGCATCGCCCTCCACTGCTTTGGGGATGAGTAGGTTTTGAAGTGTCAAGGTGTGGGCGGTGTGGGGTTCAGGCTTGCCAGGCTTGTCAGCGTAGGGTCCGGCTTTGGGTTCAGGATGTGGTGAGAGCTGAGTTGGCGGGAGAAACCTAGAAGCCTCGTCTGCGCAGCTTACAACTACTCTCGTGCCCGCAGGATGTAAGAGCACTCTAAATCTCTCAGGCACAGAAGGGCCCGACATCCGTCCGCCCGCGCCCCAATCGCCAGAGAAGTGACCTCAAGCGATGCAGGTTTGGCTTGAGGCCATGACGGTTATTCACAATTCGGGTGTTCTTACGAGTCTTTGGGGCTCAAGGAAAGCACACCTCCCATCGCAGAAACCCCAAACCATGCCCAAGAATCGCTAGAGCACGTGTGTTTCAGCAAAGCGTCACAGAGCCAGTACATATCACGCCTGCAGGTCCAAGCGAGGGATGACTGCTGACAGTCTACGTACTAGAAGCGTTGGAAAGGTCAAGGGTGTCAGGGTTTAAAGTTTGCCTTCATGTGCAAAGTCGGCGTTCTGAACGAAGTCTAGGCGTCAGAAAGATGCTTCTGCTGTCAGAGCTTGGGGGTCGGCGCTGTAGCTGGGGTTGTTAGAGCTTGGTGAAGACTGCGGGACTATGAAGGTTTGTGAGCCCTGAAACCGAAACCCTAAACCCTAAACCCTAAACCCTGTGAGATGCTTTCCAGACCCAAGGGCCGGTCCTAGTTACTTGTGTCTTCCTTCAAAACCAAAGCCAGCTCCATGAGCAGGTAGCTCCCACACATGGCCCAAGGATTTAGGGTTTAGGGTTTAGGGTTTAGGGTTTAGGGGCCCAAGGGTGTGAGCCTTAAAGGCTTTAGGCCCAAACAGAAGGTACCAGAAGACGTTGGGAGCTGCAATTCTGGGCTCAGAATAGGGGATAGGATTAGGGGGACCCTTGGGGATATAGACCCTCTGAATAAGGTCCCTGTTTAAGAGAGCCAGAAGAGGGTTCAGAAGGGTCCTACCTGGGACAGAATCTGCAACTCAAGTTGACGGCTTGAACGGCTTTGGAGAAACCTCTAAGCGTTGAGGTCCAACTAGCACATGGCCATGATGGTTGAAGTACTCAAGGAATTGGGCGGCCTGGTTGCCTAACGATTATTCTTAGACTTGTTTTTAAAATTTTCCGCTGGTGGGACATTGGACCTGGATACTCCTTAGGTTCCTTTGCACTTCGAGGGTCGTGAAGTGAACAGGTACAACCACTGTGAGCCACGCCTGGTAACACACGCACCGAGATTTCCATGGCGGGCTGCGGACGCAGACTCATGTAGAACAAGAAATGGAGGTTTCCGAAATTAAGGGTACAGTACCTTATTGGGTCCTGATAAAAAAAAATCCTACTACTTGGGGTCTTAAACCCCCCCCCCCCATTTAGGTCTTAGTGCCGGTGGTGCTAAGTTTATACCTGGGCTGGGAGCCCAGGTGAAAACTTAATCGGTGGATACTGTCCTTCTCCGAACCTACCTGCCTGCAGAGTCTAGGGTTTAGGGCTGAGGGTTTCGGGGGCCCACAGTCCCTGCCCACCACTCTTGCCACTCTTTGGAGCAGCACCCGAAACGCAACTCAGTTCTGATCTTCGTTGACGCGGGGGTGAGCGTGGCTTTATGGAGTTCGAGCCCAGGCATTTCGATACCGCAACCCCAGCCCATGTAGCAAGCTTGTTGGGCTGCCTAGTGCGACGACAGGCAGCACACTTAAGCTAGGGTTTTAGCATTGCTGAGTCATGGGAATCTTGGGCACACATAAGAATGAGGCACGCATAAGATGTCAACCAGAACCTGGTGAACCAGCCTAGGCACAAACTAAAGTCTCACGACGGCCGGGAAAAGACAAGAGCCATCCTCTTCGGCACCAGCCTGTGGTGGTAGCACAGCGTCCCTAAACCCTAAACCCTAAACCCTAAACCCTAAACCCTAAATCCTAAACCCTAAACCTGTAAAAGCCCCTTCCAGGCGATCGTCGAGCCTCACAACCGGCGGCGCTTTTGGGCCCAAGGGAAGGCTGCGGTTTGTAAACCCCTTGGGTCACCAGAGTCAGGACTTTAAGCAGAAGTTCTTCACACGAAAGGCAACAGCTGACACCGACCTTTATGTACATGCACAGTCAGCAGACTTTCGTAGAATCACAAATCTTTCGCATGGACAGCTTGTTTGTTGGAAAAAGGAACGGAAGCTCCGCTATTCGTTGCATGCAGCCATGGATTCCGCTGCATCCGATGCCACTCAAGGGCATCAACAGGTTATGACCGCCCAAGCTGAGACTGCTGCGCAGGTGGTGAATGGTGTCCAGAACCAACCTGGACCCTCGAATGAGCCCACAACAAGGGGCTCGGCTGGTGGATCTGGAGTAGTTGCAGGCTACAGAGGTGAGCTGCTTGGGGAGGTGATGGCTCCTGGATCAGGGGCAGCTCATGGGGAGTCTATAGCTTCGCGAGGTGCGCTGTTGGTGGAGCCCACCGAATCTGGCGAGTTGCAGGGGGAGCAACTAAGTGCTCCGACGACGACTGGTCTGGACGGATGGCAGGACTATGGCGAGACATCTGGGCGAGGCAGTGCAGATTATCTCCAGATGGGATCCGTGACTCCGAGGTCACGGAATGGGCATTCGTTTTCTCTTCCGGCAGGGCAGAACTGGTTGGGAGGACTAGAGATGCCGAGATGGGTTGCCAGGCTGGGCAGCTATTTAAGTGTGGGGCATGGCGATATGGTTCCAAGCCCTATGGCAGGGAGTACCGGAACATCTACACCGGGTGGTCCAACGTTCATGTTGAGGTCGCCAGGGAGACCAATGAGTGTGAGGCCACCTACACCGCCAAGCTCCTCGGATTTTCCCAGCGAGGCGGTTCAGGCCGAGGTCCAGCGACAGCTTGGAGGGATTCTCTCTAGATTGCAGGTGGCGGAGGAGCAAAACATGGCGCTTCGTCAGCAGCTTGAGGAGGAGAGGGAGAACCTTCGTCATGTGAAGCGGGCCAAGGCGACTGCAGCGACTCAACAGGAGTTGCCTCTTAGTGGACCACCTCGAGGAGATCTACCACCGCGACCAGAAGTACCTGAGCGCCCTGGAGGACTGCTGAGTGATCTTGCTTCAGCTCATCTGGGACCTGCTGATCTTTGGGGTAACGGGAAGTGTGAGCACGGGTCCGAGCCTCAAGGGCCTAGTGTGGAGCCTCAAGGTGATCACCAATCTACTCGGAGTAGACCTACCTCAACCATGCCAGCACCGCCTCCTATGCCACCACCAAGGACCATGGAGCAGGAGGAGCCTAGGGGTTTTCTTCGCTCTTGGTTGACAAGGCCTCGGAGCGAATCTCCCCCGCCACGACCTGATCATCCCAGAGACTCTCCTGCAATCGAGGCGCTCACGAAGGGAATTGCTCAACTGCAGGAACTCCAGGCCCAAGCCCTTCAGAAGTCGTCTGGAAATGGAGCGGAGGTGATCAAGCCAGGCACGTCAACCCTGAGTCCACTGCCAACAGTCAAGAGTGGTGCTGAAGTGGCGCTACAGTTTCAGGATTGGGTGGAGGTCACGGCTGCGGTGATGTACGACATCAGCGAGCAGAGTGGAACGTGGTGGAAGGCAGTGCTGGGAGTTGTGGACAGGGCTTACAAGGCATGGTTGTCTTCTACACCCTTGGAGAGATTGACGGTTCAGCCTCGTGGAGGGGAAGAACTAGCGACCGGGAAGTGGACCAGATTGAATGCAAGGGTGACGGCAATGCTCCTGGCAGCCATGTCTGAGGAGCAGAAGATGGACATGATTGCCAATCGAATATCCACCAGCTCAGTGGATATGCTCTTCCGGCTCTACACTACCTACCAACCTGGGGGGAGCCTGGAAAGACAGGATGTCCTCAAGCGCCTCCAGAGTCCCATGGACTACGTGGACAAGGACACCATACAGGAAGTTCTTCGTGTGATTCGGAGCTGGCCAAGGTGGATGGCAAGATGTGAGACACTAGGGATGGCAGCCCCGGACCCTTCTGTTTTAGCTCGTGGTCTGAAGCTTCTCACTGCCAAGTACATCGACTCCAACCCGGACTCGGCCTTCAGGACGGCTATGCTTCGTACGACTCTTCGTCTTGATGGGCAACCCGGTGAAGAGCAGGTGAGGGCGTACCAGAAGCATTTGCAAGCAGAGTTGGAGAATGTGGTGGCGAGCTATCCTTCAGGATCAACAACAGCTGAGGGGCTACATCCTAGACTACAAGCACTGGACCGAGGTGAGCCAAGGACTGCACCCACCAGCAAGTCGCCTGAGAAGGACAAGGAGAAGGGTGGCAAAACAGACATGTGTCGCTACTTCATGAAGCCTTCTGGGTGTCGGAGAGGATCCCGCTGCAACTTCAGTCACAACATGGCTCACCTTGATCGTGAAGTACGAAAAAAGAAGTGTTTGAGCTGTGGATCTGAGTCCCACAGACAGAAGGACTGTGGAGTTGGGAAGAGTGGACCACGGCCTCCTCATGGACCGACCGGCTCTGAGGCAAGTGGTGGAGGGGCGAAGAGTTTGTCCACTACTCCTGGGGTGGCGTCGTTGTCCACAACCTCCACGACTGGGGCGACTGATGGGTCGGTGGTACAGGGAACCCCATGGACCCTTGAAACCTTGGTTCAAGCTGCGCAACAAGTAATGCAGGCCCAGGCTCCGGGAGATCGAGGGGAATCACCTGAGAAGACGGGTCCGGCGGTGCGAACTCTGGTGGTTAGGGGGATACAGGTCTGTGCCATGAAGTCTTCCTCAACAGCTTTGTTGGATAGTGGAGCCACCCATTGCCTGAGATCAGCTCGTTCATACAAGGAATGGAGTGAGGCTGAGAAGGTCATGGTCCAATTGGCGGGCAACCACAATTTGGTGATGAGAATGAGCGACAATGGCTCGTTGCTTATGCCTCCGAGGAAGGGAATGTCAGAGACGGGCACAGGTGGAGATGGAGGACAGACAATCGTGCCCATGGGTGAGCTCGTTGGAACACTTGGATACACCCTACGATGGTCCCCTACCGAGTGCTACCTGTACGACAAGAGCGACAACCGCATTCCGCTGAGCGTCTCTGGTGGATGCCCTCAGCTATGTGAAGCAGAAGCACTTTCGCTCATCGCAAAGATCGAGGATAAAAGAAGGGAGGTGCTCGAGAATGAGATTGCCGAGACCCAGGACCTCGTAGCGATGGCAGCGCTCCAGTTGGATAAAGGGTGGAAGGACTACATTAGGGAGTATGTCGCCACTGGGTCCTGGATGCGGGTTTGAGAAGCCTCAGGGATGCCCCGTTCTTGAAGAATGTGTCGGAGGAGTGCCTTCGTGATCTGGTCCAGGACGAGGTCAAGGATGCCGGATGGGAGGTCTTCAAGGGAGTTGACTTCCTCACTCGTCCTCAGAAGAGATATCTGTGGGGATCAAAGAAGTGGGTGATCCATCTGTTTGCAGGTGATCCGGGACACTATAAGATGTTCCAGCTGGATCAAGGCAACACGGCAGTGTTGGAGTTGGACATCGCTCGCTGCCAGGGACACAGTATCCTGAGGAGTCCAACTTGGCGATTGCTGATGTGGGGGGCATTGAATGGTCGAATCGATGCGGTTCTCGGAGGACCACCTGGGCGATCTGCAAGGTTTGATGATGATGGTGATGATCAAGCCCAGAAGGCTCTGAAGGTGATCACTCGGATGATGTGGCTGTATGTCATAGCCAAGGAAGCAAGGGCGGCAGTCCCGATGGCCAGAAACAAGGAGCGTCCGGTCGCCTTTGCCCTCGAGCATCCAGCATCACGGGGTAGCGGTTCGTTGTGGTCCACTGACCTGTGGGAGGAATTCCAGGAGGAGATGGACATGATCCAGGTGAAGTTCGATCAGAAGAACATGGGAGCACCGAGGCCGTTGCACACGATCTTGGGAACGAACGTCTATTACCTCATGGGATTGGATGGAATAGGGTATGAAGACCTAGACCCTCAGGAGGAAATCCCCAACGTCAAGGTCGATCCAGAATGGTCACCGGGACTAGTGGATAGCATGGTCATGGCAATGAGGCTTTGGGACCAGCAGCCTTTGTGTTGCCCGGCAAGGGTGGCAATTTCTCCTGGTGAATGGCAGCGGCACGTTCGTTCTGGGCACGCAGACTATCGGAGGGACTGCCTTACGTGTGTGATGGCTAGAGGGACTGGACGTCGTCATGCCCGAGCCAGACATCCGAGCACGTTCGTCCTGACGATCGATTTGGCGGGCCCAGTGAAGCCAGGCTTGGATGTTACCTCAAAGGGAACCATGGGGAAGAACCTGCGATACATGCTGGTGGCCAAGTATGTTCTTCCCAAGGAATATGTGAAGGGGTATACGGGGCGTCAACCTCCAGGTGATGATGGTCGAGAGGATGAACCACCACAAGGCCTAGAGGGGGAAGAGTCGCATATGCCAGTGCTAGCTGAGGAGGAGGATCCCTTCGAGGTTGGTGAGAGCATGGACTATGAATCGGACGTGGACGAAGCACAGTCCCAGGAGGAGGATGCTTGTGAGGTAGAGCGGGGCGACAGTAGGTTTGCTGGAGGAACAACCAAGCAGCGGGAAGAGTTCCGGGACTACGAGGATGTGATGTACGAGCCTTCTGAGATTGGTCCTGACGATGAAGGTGGTGGAGAGGATCAGGAGGAGCAAGTGCATCTAGCCGAGGAGGACCAGGTCAAGGACAGCGAGCACAGAGCCTTCCCGGATTGCGAGTGCCCGGAGACAACCCACCTTTTGTTTGCCCGCGCGTTAACCAACAATGGTTCCTCAACTGTCAAGGGAGTGATCCAGGACATCGTGCTGTACCTGCAATCGCGAGGTCTTCCGGTGTTTCGTCTACATGCTGACAAGGGTGAAACGTTCAATCACTCGATCAGGACGTGGCTACGAGATCAAGGCATACGAGCTACATGGTCGGAGCCGGGAATACCTCAAGGAAATGGACAAGCTGAGGGGGCAGTGCGCTGGGTTAAGGACAGAACAAGAACACTGCTGTTGGCATCAAAGCTGCCAGTGAGGCTCTGGCCGGCAGCGGCCGAAGCAGCAACAGCCATCCAAAGATCCAAGGTGCTGGGTTGGAAGAGTCGGTTGCTGGCTCCTTTTGGTGCAGTGGTTCACGTGAAGCAGAAGGCCTTTGATTCGTCCGGACCGAGAAGACGGGAAAGGGCATTCGAAACTAAGTGGATCAAGGGCACCTATGTGGGATTGAGCAACTTGTTGGATGAGGGGCATGTGGTGTATGTTCCAGAGGATGAGAAGGGCAAGGAGAAGTTCATCCACACCTTTCATGTGCGACCTCGACTAATTGATCCCGGGCTACCCCATGAAGAGCTACAGGTGGAGGAGGCCCCAGCTCCGAGGAGAAGAGTGGTGGGCAAGATGCCATTGGAAAGCATAGAGATGCGAAGGATGGAGTTGTCCGAGGAGGAGTTGGGATCCTATGTTCGAGATCGGTGCAAGGTCCTCTTGGAGAACTGGGACCGGGGAGTTGCACTTCAAGTAGTGGATGAGGTGGCAGAAACGGGATTCTTCGACGACAAGAAGTTCGGAGTCTACCGACATGGGGGTACCGTGGGTTGGCTTCGTGGTCTACATGAACACCCAGAGCTAACTCGGGTACTGACTCGGATTGTCACCGAGATAAACCCCGAGGCAAACTACATGGCTATTTGGGTGGCAAGGAATGCTGAGCGAGGAATGCACAAGGATTCGAATAACGATGAGAAGGCCTTCAACACAGTGATACCTGTGCGAACCCCAGCTAAGGGAGGAGATCTATGGGTGGAGCTGTCACCAGGCGACATCGTTACGGGGGAGGTTATGGAGAGAGAAGATGACCAAGGGCGACGGCGATATGGGCAAGTTCACAGGATCCGGGCTGGAAGTTGTATGACCTTTCTACCCCGGAAACTACATGAAGTACTACCATGGTCTGGAACAAGAACGGTTCTTATCGCCTACACTCCAAACTGCTTCGGTAGTCTCTCAAGGGAGATGATCCAGAGCCTCGAGGACTATGGCTTCTTACCACCACCATCACAACTACCAGAGTATTTCCTGAAAAAGGGTGAGGCTGTAATGAACTACATGGAGGTTGACTCTCAGGAACCTGGCGAAGTTGTGCAAAAGGAGGAGGAGGTCAAAGACGAGGAGGATGAGTCCTGGGAAATGTTCCTGGAGGCGGAGAATGGCATGATCAAGATAGGAGGATCAGTATCTCAGCAGCGCTGTGAGGCCCCGTCGATGAAGAAGATGGAGCCGGCATTCACCAAGGACGTGGAAGATCTGCTCAATGATTTGGTCGGTCCTCTCGAGGTGACGCACAATGTGGACCCAAGGGAGGTGGAAGCCAATTGGGAGAAATGGATTCCTGCCATTATGAAGGAGCTCACCAGTGTTAGTGTGGCGATTCAAAAGCTGCCTTTGGGATCTCCTGAGCGATCAGAGTGGATACAGCGTCCTGGAGCCCAGCGTTTGCCAACCAACATGGTCTACACCATTAAGCCTGGTGATAACCCGGACATTGAGGATCCGAGCACCTGGTACAAACGTAAGGCGAGACTGGTGGTCTGCGGAAATTTTGCAGACCGGGACCAGACCGACTTGTACTCGGAAACGGCACCGTCTGAGGCTGTCAGGGCTGGATTGGTGCTGTCCAGAAGGAGGAAGTGGGCAGTTGGCTTGATCGATGTGGTGGCGGCCTTCTTGAGAACTCCAATGGATCAAGAGGGAACAGGCCTGACGATCATTGTAACACCTCCAAGGACTCTGGAGAAGATGAAGTTGATCGACCATGGCGAACTGTGGGGCTTGGTGAGGGCACTGTATGGTTTACGACAGGCGCCGGCGCTATGGTCTGCATTCAGAGATAAGACCCTCAAGGAGATGAAGTTTCCAGATGGGTGGACCATTACTCGTGGGAGGACGGTGACTTCATGGTGGGTGTTCCGAAACAGACATGGAAGCGTCATGGGGGTCCTGATTTGCTATGTTGATGATTTCCTGTTGCTCAGTCAGGAGCAGACAATCCGGGAGTTGGCAGAGACGATCCAACAGACCTGGAAGACATCGCCCTTGGCGATCCTACGACATGGTGAGCCAGTGAGGTTCTTGGGCATGGAGTTGCACCTCGACAGCACGGGCGAGCTCATTTATGTCAGCCAGCATGGGTACGTCGAGGAAATCCTCAGGGAAAACATGGTGGGCCAGGAGGAGAGGGACAGAATTCCGCTGTCTCGTGAGAAGGCATCGTTTGAGGTGGGGTCAGATGACGAAGAGCCATCTCCCGAAAAGGTGGCTGCAGCACAGAGGTTGACAGGCGAGATCATGTGGCTCAGTCAGAAGACTCGACCTGATCTGAGCTTTGCTTGCTCGCTCATGGCCTCGATTACATTGAAGGCCCCAATGCGATGCATCGACATTGCCCACAAGATCTTGAGGTATCTTCGTGCAACAGGCGACTACAAGATGGCGATCAGGGATGATGGCACCAACCTAACCTTGTACCCGGACGCCGCCTTCGCTCCTTCAAGCAACAGGTCACACACTGGCTGGGTTATATGTTGGTCTGGAACCCCACTGGCGTGGCGGAGTGCCCGCCAAGCCACGGTGGCCCTGAGCACCGGTGAAAGCGAGCTCCTCGCTATCCTCGATGGTGCAGTGGGGCTCATGGGGGTGGAAGCCATGCTGATGGACTTGTTTGTGGAGCCCGAGACAAAAACCATCGCGAGTGACAGCACGAGTGCATTGGCGATTGGCTCAGGCACGGGAAGCTGGCGAACAAGACATCTCAGGCTGAAGGCGGCCTGGCTACAAGAACGAATCGCAGATGGAGATGTTGTGGCCCGCCATCAGCCGGGAATTACCCAGCCGGCCGACCTTCTCACCAAGGCTTTGAGTGGGCAAAGGATTAGAGACCTACTGGCACTATGGGGAGTTGGCCAAGAAGGGGAGACGAGGAAGAAGTCAAGGCCATCGCAGGCATCGCTTCATGTGACAAGGGCAATGGTGGCTATGCTTTGTTGCCTGATGGTCTTGGGAGTGGAGTCCAGAGAGGAGGAAGGCAGTCAGCCACCTATGCGACTACAACTAGACTGGGACCTCGTCGGTGTCTTCCTGGCGATGCTTACATTGCTTGGGGCCGTGATGATCTATGAGGCCCTGCGATGGGGAGTGGTTGAGTTCTACAGGGAATACACTCCTGGGGCTGCTGAACGAAAAGTGAAGCGTCTCCGCAAATTACAAGAGGTGACAGCAGCGGCCATTGAGGAGGAGTTAAGGAAGAGAGCTCAGCAATTCCCAGGTAGGCATGAGACTTCGAGGCCAGTTGTCCGTGAAAGGAGTGAGCCTAGAAGTTCAACAGCGAGGCCAGAGACACCAAGTGGTCAAGATGATCCGGCGACTTCCTTGACGGCATGGAGGACGTCTTCACCAACACCAACACGATCACGGTCAGAAGTGTGGCTTCAGACCCCCACGACACCGAGTACTTCGGAACTTGATGACCCGGAGGCTGTAGCGGGAGAAGCCAAGCGAGCGATCATGGACACTGTCATGCTGATGAGGGTTGAGGATATTCGAGAAGGTCTTCGCATGCATGGGCTTCAGCTGAGTGGCCTGAAGCAAGATCTGGCCACGAGATTGGCCGATGTGTTGGTGGAGCAGATTGGGACATCAGCAGGCCCAACCGTTCGCCAGTACCGATATCTTCTCTGGCTCTGGCGACACAAGGACCTTCACGGGAAGGTGCTGCTGAAATGGAGCGCTTTGAGTTCCAGACACGAGGCGTCGAGGACGATACACCAGTGGAAGTCCATTTAGATTTGGGCATCGCCTGGCTTTCGCAGGCACTGAGGAGGAGTGTAAAAGCCCCTTCCAGGCGATCGTCGTCGAGCCTCACAACCGGCGGCGCTTTTGGGCCCAAGGGAAGGCTGCGGTTTGTAAACCCCTTGGGTCACCAGAGTCAGGATTTCAAGCAGAAGTTCTTCACACGAAAGGCAACAGCTGACACCGACCTTTATGTACATGCACAGTCAGCAGACTTTCGTAGAATCACAAATCTTTCGCATGGACAGCTTGTTTGTTGGAAAAAAGAACGGAAGCTCCGCTATTCGTTGCATGCAGCCATGGATTCCGCTGCATCCGATGCCACTCAAGGGCATCAACAAAACCCTAAACCCTAAACCCTAAACCCTAAACCTCAAGATGAGAGCTGGGATGGAGATTCTGGAGGCCTACTGCAGCATCACATGCTATCCATGGCCACCGCACGAGGCCTTACACGTGCTCCGGGAACAGGAGTTCGTGTTTTTCAACCCAGCCACCTGTCTCACGTTCCTGCAACGTGGTGGCACCACAGGGTGGGTGGGATTGGGGGCCAAGCTGCGCGCTGAAATCCGTAGCCGCCGAATCCGTATCATTGCGCAATTGCGCGAGTAGGCCACGTGGAAGATCCACACTAAAATATCTGGCGCTGGACCCAGAGAGCCCAATACCCGTTAATTAAGGAAAATAGCCAAAATCATCAAGGGATCCTTATTATGATTTAAGGAGTCTTCCTTAATTAAGGGGAATACGGTATTGGGCTCTTTAGGGACCAGAATACGAGTGCGGCCGACAGCCGATTGGGCCCAAATTTTCTCGGGTTTGAAAGCCGCCGTGCAACTTGGAGCGCCTGCTCCGATGCAAATTACGAGCGCCGCCTGTGCAAGGAGTGTACGGCTGCGCTGCGACATCCCACACCCAGAGCTACAAAACTCGAGGCCCAGAATCTTAAAGCTGCCAAACCCTGAACGCTGATGTCTCATGATGTGTGTCTTTAGGGTTTAGGGTTTCGGGTTTAGGGGGTTTAGGGTGTTGCCATGGGAACGCTCATCAAACAAAGCAAGCACTTCCCCTCTTGCAAGTTGCTTCGCTAGGCTTCCGAGAATCAAACCTCTGAAAGATTGACAACTTGCTCCCACACTTGTCATTTGCACCACCCTAAACCCTAAACCCTAAACCCTAAAACCTAAAACCTAAAACCAGCACAGGCTTTGGCTCGGAAGAGGGTTGGCAGGTGCCATGTCTGACTGCGAAAAGGGGAACCAAAAAGAGAGCCGACTGAGAAGGTACGGCGAAGAGCTCAGGCTCAGAGTTTAAAGTGCCAAGAAGCTTCCCAACAAGTCAACATGTAAACTCCCAAAACCTGAAAAAAAAAGATGCCTGAGGAAAGCCCTCGGCGGGATCCCCAAGTCTGTGGGCACTCTGCAGTGTTCCGAGGTTTCTCGATATCAGACTTGGGGCTCGGAAGCATAACATAGAATTCAGGATGCGTGAGGTGGATTTATCAGATGTAGCCATTCGGGGGCTTCAATGCGTCGGTTCAAGGGGTTGGGAGCCACAAAGCCTCCCAAAAAACATCTTCCCTCTCGAGAAACCTAGGACGTCGGCCAGTGCAAACACTACTCCATCTCTAGGACCATGAGGCAATCTCGGCCACCGGCACCTCTGCATTGCCAAAGGCTCAGGATTTGAAGACTTCGCGGGTTTCTGAGTTTCAGGTTTAGTGGGATTAGGTTTGGGGGGGCCACTAGGGCTTGGACAACTGCAAAAATGCATGGCCGTGAGTTCTGCCATGTGATCTTCCCGAATGTTGTGCTCGGCTTAGTGCTCGCCACCCCCACACCCCCACCCCCCCCCCGGGCCACCCGAACAATTTCCTGAACAAAAACGCCATTCAACGGTTTGCATTTCAGTACCGTCCCTGGCCTGCTAATTCAGGCAAGATTCTGGCACAGTTGCCCGCCTGTTCATGCGCTTCCTTGCCCTGTTGAGGCTTTTGAATTTGGCTTGTTGAGGCAACAGCCGCCCACTTGAGCCTCCCGCCCTGCTTGTTGCGACGACACTCCGGTTCAGTTGCCCGCCTGAGCCTTCCTGGCCTGCATTTAGGCAACATTCCGGTGCAGTTGCCCACCGTTTGTCCTGAATGTTGTGCTGCCTGAGATCTCTACTGTTGCTTGCTGTCCGGTGCACGCCGCGTCACATGATGCGTGACACTTTGTCCTTAGAAAATCAACAACCCCCTTGTCGGGCGGGGAATGATACAAAGTCAGTTGCAGGGTTGGGGGTTGAGGGCATCACCCCCTGTGGAGTTGTTGATTGGCTGGTTTCTTGGCTGGTTTCCCTCTGTGGTTCGCAAGCTCCAGTTCCAGCACACAAGAACTATCCTCAGTCCCAAGTTTGCTGGTGTTGAAGTTAGAGTTTAGCTGGTGTGTTGTCAGCCCTGACCAAAGCCTCAACAACTCAACTCCCCAAAGCTTAGCCTCCTCAACCCCCCGACCACCCTAAATCCTAAACCCTAAACCCTAAACCCTAAACCCTAAACCCTAAACCCTAAACCCTAAACACTAAACTCAACCCTGGCCTTGTCCGGTGACAGGGGTCGTGGGCTTGGCTGGTCCCACTCCTCCAGCATCCTCAATGAGCCTCGAAGGCACTTTCGGGTCTAGGGTTTAGGGTCTGTCATGCTGGGGTTTAGGGTTTAGGGTTCAGGGTTAGGGTTTAGGGTCTAGGGTTTAGGGTTTAGGGTTTAGGGTTCCAGGGTTCCAGGGTCCAGGGTTGTTCCAACAGGGCTTTGGTTGGCTTGATCTTGCTTGTTTGCTCTTAGAATACTTCGCCCCTTCAGGTCAGTTTGGGTGCGAAGGAACTTTGCCCAGCTGTTGGACCTTAGAAAGACTGTGGCTTTGCGGATGCCTTGATCAGCCTTTGGGGAGGGATCTTAGTAGCTGAAGGACTTTTCGGATGTCGTTCTGGAATAGTCTTGGGCTTGAGCAGCCCTGGATCTTTGTTCATCAAATTGTCAGATCTCTAGCCCCAACACAAACCTGATTGTAGCAAGTCCCCAAAAAAAGTCTGGGTCCCGCACCAAATACATCCGAAATCCTACTTGCGGCCCTAAACCCTAAACCCTAAACCCTAAACCCCAAACCCTAAACCCTAAACCCCAAACCCTAAACGCTTCGGGAGCTGCATGGAACTGAGGCTGCGGACGCTTCGGCCTTGAAAAGGAATACGCTGCACTGCCAAGTGGCCAGATGTGATCTGCAAGTTGCGCACCAGATGCTCGAGGTGCCTGGTTTAGGGTTTAGGGTTTAGGGTTTACTGTTTAGGGTTTAGGGTTTAGGGTTTAGGGTCTAGGGTTGCAGTCTCTGGTGGCTTAAGTTGTAGGGTTCTGACCGTCTTGACTTTGGGCTCTAGCTGTGCTGGCCAGTCTACTTCTGACGGCTAGCAGCTCTAGACGCTGACATGCTCTGGGGACTTAGGCTTTCAGGCTTGGCGTGATGTGAGGGCTTGGGGATATAGAGTCAGATAGAGAGCTTGAGGGCTTCGATTTGATGTCAGCGCGGCGTTTGTTATTAGGGCTTCCTAATCTTCAAGGCACAGCGAAACATTGCGAATGTGAATACGCATCCTCAGACCTTCACAAACGAAGCAAGTGTATGAAGATAGCAACCGCAAGAGGAATGCGAGCAACCAGCCGACGACCTACGAACCAAGGTGCAAATGTCCCAGTCTCGGGAACAGGGACGGTTCAACGAACCCTTTCATCTCCACATGGTGTTCGGTCTCATCAGTTTCAAGAGCACGGGAAAGGGAGAAGACTCCCAAATCTTCCGTCCTAGGTTACTTCCCTGCCTTCTATCCCAACTCCTCCATGCCTTGCCTCTTGTCCCTGAAGTTGGTGTAGGATTTAGGGCTTAGGGTTGAGGGTACCTGAAGTGGTTTAGGGTTTAGGGTTTAGGGTTTTCGTCGAAAGAACGGATCATGGGAGGCCTCACCAGCTCCCCTCTTCGCTCTCGGCCTGAGTGGTACCGCATTCTTGCACTTCGCAGGATTGATTTTGAGGGTTTAGGGTTTAGGGTTTAGGGTTTAGGGTTTAGGGTTTAGGGTTTAGGATTTAGGGTTTAGGGTTAGAGTTTAGGGTGGATTTTTCATGGGTTTGCGTCAGGTCAAGTAAGAAGGCGCCGCTGCGCGACTTGAACCGTTGACATTGGCATGCACCTTGCCGGCTAGAGTTCTTCTGAATGCTGGAGCCCTTCATCCTACTAGTTTAGGGTTAAGCGGGGGGGGGGGGGGGGGGCGGGGTTCAGGGTTTAGGGTGTAGGGTTTAGGGTTTGGGGGCGCAAAGGAGGGCCCATCTCCCTTCCATTCAGGAGGGTGCAACGCTAGAAGGGCTTCTGGTTAATGAAGTTTGCAAGGACTGAAGTCCCGCTGCTTAAAATCGAAAGCCCGGAGCTTCTCCAAATCTGTGTAGCTTGTGGAAGCCTGGCTCAGGGTCTTAGGGTCAGGCTTCGGGATCTGAGGCCCCAAGCTCCTGGCCGAAACCCGGAGGCCCTGCCATCATCCAAAGCCAGCTGATGCAGTATATATTATAAATTATTATATATTATAAGTTGTTATATACTATATATTATTATATATTATCCAGTCAAGCGGCTGGAGAAGTCATTCACCTTGTCATCCAGGTATCCTTGGTGCGCTGTAGATTCTCTGGCAGGCCCTGGCTACTGTGAGTTGTACCGCGTGCGTCTCATGCGAGAATGACACCCCAAACTCTGCGCAACTCTCGTTGATGAACAGGTGCTGCCAGCTTGGGAGAATCCGCGGTGCCGATGATTTCAGGGAAGAGTCGGCTCAGAGTGAACACATGTGAACACCCGTCGGCCGGCACACCCAATTAGCCCAATACCCCTTAATTAAGGAACATTCTTTAAACCAGAATAAGGATCCCGTTATAATTTAAGCTACACTTCTTAATTAATTAAGGGGTATTGGGCTCT